TCTCCCCACTTTTGCTAGGACTCCAGAAATCACAGGCTCCATGGCCTCCAGGACACCATGTGCCCACGGGAAGGGAAGATTCAGCACTAGCCCCTTCTTGGAGGTGAAATGTCTCTCCTCTGTTCTTGCATCTCCAGTTCATAAAGTCCTTAATCACCGACTTTGGTTTGTCATGGGTGCTGAGTGGCCCAAAACATCCAAGATTGATTCATTCTGTGCTTACCCCGAATGCTGTTAGGAGGGCCTGAGGGATGCTGAGGTGAGGACCTATGCCCAGTGAGATGCTGCCTGGCATGCCCAGGGCAGTTACAACAGCTAAGACTAAGAGCCACCAACTGCCAGATTCAGCAGATAGAAACCTATAGATGTCTGTGGAATGCGCAATGGTGAGGGACACAAGTGTCCGCCAAAGGAGTAGCAGTGATAAGAGGATGCTGTGTGTTTAGTCACCAAGCCAGACCACCAGACACAGAGATCTCTAGATCACTCTGGGTTAATGAAGTTAGTTAGATTCTCATTAGGACACTAGCTAGGCCATGGCACTCCACAGTCTGGACACATTGTCCCTACATCATACAACTTCAAAAGAGTGTGAAATAATTAATGGGTGCACTGAAGTTGGGCAAAGAGCACACCCAGAGGACACTACATGCATGGGTTTGTGTGAGGTTTACAAAGGTTCCTCACCCAGGGACAGAACATAATCTTTCCTTTGCACAGGTCTCAGGCTCCATTTCTCAAGACATTTACAGGATCGAACATGGTGTGTGTGTGTGTGTGTGTTGGGGGGTGCTGCTTCTGAAATCTTGGCTCCCCGAGGCTCTCCATGTTATAGAGCATCCAACTGTGCCGCACAAGAAGGGGGGGTGCTGCTTCTGAAATCTTGGTTCCCCGAGGCTCTCCATGTTATAGAGCATCCAACTGTGCCGCACAAGAAGCGCTGAGTTGGAGACAACGGTAAAACCACAAAGTCAAGCTGTGCAAAGACTTTAAACATTTGAAACCGACCAACAAAAATCAGGGGCTATGTTCAAGTATGTCTGTTTGTGAAACCTTGTGAGGTTCCTGATAGGACACAAGACATTTGAAGTAATCTTTCAAATCCTTTCCAGCTCAGTCATTTGGATTCATAGTGTATGCTCATTACAGAAGCAGGCACCTGGAAATCGGCATTGATTTCCAAGACAGGCAGTTAATAGATTTCCTGGGCTCTTGTCAGTGGTGAGCCATCGGGGTTCATCTGACTTCCCTGTGTGCAAAATTGAATCCTCGGAAGAATGGGAGCATCACTCTACATCCTATGGGTACAAGAGGGGCCAGTTGTGAAAGCGATGCAGTAATAGCATCCTCTTTTCTGTATAATACAAATCCCCATATTATTCAAAGTGTTTCTCTTCTTTATTTTATCCACATTCTTCACAACTTTGACCCCATAAATAAATACATTGCTTCATCCCAAATTGTTCTCTCCTCTTTGGACTTCGGGTGAGTGAAGGTGAAAATCCACAGGTAGGCAGAACCATAGAATCTCTGGTAGCTAAATGAAATCACCGGGAATTGCATACAGATGCTCAGTTGCGTTGTCTACCTTCTTGGGACTGTCTTTCATATTAAAAACAAAATCTTTCAAGGTGGCTCACTGGTGTTAAGAACTCTGGCAAATTTTAACACAGAGAACCCAGGACCCTGCCTTCTGGGTGAATGGGGAAAGACCGGGTGGGGTGGGGTGAATGGCCTCTGCCATCAGCGCTCCAGGTATCAGCACCCCCTTCCTGCGCTCCCTTTAGTCTTGGAGTTTAAAAATTCTCCACAACTGGCGGTCCCAGCCAGCATCCTGCTTGACTGAGGTTTAGCCTCTGACGGAGAGACTAATCATCTCAGGCAGGGTACAGGAACGGGTCTCCTTGTCCTTAACACCTCAAGCTTTTCTCCCTTTGCCTCTGGTCTTTCTGTCTCTCTGATCGGCCTATCTTCTGAGCTCTCCTCATCCTGAGTGGACTGAAAGGGGTAGAATTTGTAGGGAAGATTCTTTTTGACAGTCCCCAAAGGTCAGCATTGCAGGAAGTTCTCAGTCATCTTCACGTCCCGGAGCTCCCTCAACTGTCGTTCTCACTTGCTACCTTAGAGTCCTAGACTCCAATTTTAATTCTGAGAGCTCCATCTCTTCCCCAAGTGGTGTCCTCGGGGTCCCTACCCGCTTAAAGTCTCTCAAACCCAGACCAAAGCTTATTCAGCGTTTTTACCAGCTTAATTTTGCACTGTTTGTGGCGCCCCCGAGGGAAGATGTCAAACACTCATAATCATTGTATTTAGTCACCCAGGTGCGGAGCCGGCCTGAGACAGCGGAAGGAGTTTCCCAGAACTGAGCTGTCACTCACCGGCCTGCACCAATTACAACGCAGATTGCCCTCGGGCCCACCTCTTTTGGGGTGTGTCACAAGTGAGTGATAGACTGAGCCGCCCGGCCCTGCTCAGCCCAGCCCACGTTGCTGCTTAGATTGAAATGCAGAACTCAAGCCTCTTTCTGGCCGGCACAGACTTCCTTTTACTCTTTCCTTTGGCACTCTCGTCGCCTCCTCCTGGGGAGAAGCCGAGGCAGCCGCGTCTTGGAGCAGCGACAGGTCGGCCTAGTGAGAGCAAGAGAAAAGTTTCTTTCTGGGAGTGCGGAACTGGGGCCGGGTTGGTATACTGCTCGGAGCAATGGGTGAGTGGCGGCGGGGGAAGCAGAGAGAACCCAGGGGGGGGGGGGGGGGGAGGCGGGGGGGGGGGGGGGGGGGGAGCTGGGGCGCGCAACCGCGCTCTATTGACTCAGACCGCGTCCCCAAGAGCTGTACGAGCATGCCAAGGGTCAGCGGCGACAGGGGTGCAATGGGAACTCCCGCTACAGGGTGGCAGTTAATGCCAGGTTTTGATTTTAAGAGGGCCATGGCACGGGAGAGTCCCGCAGCTCCAGTGTCAATCCAAGTTTTGTTGCACACGTGTTTACACATGCAAACAAAACAGAACAAAAACAAAACAACCCCTCAGCTTTCCCTGAACTCCGTCTAATAGCGCTGGGGGGAGGGGATAAGAATGTGGAGGGGAGCAAGGGCAGAACGTTTTGGTGCCAAGCAGGCAACCAGGGAGCGCTGGCACGTCAGGACCGATTTCCCCGTCTGCTTCGGAGAGTTTTGGGTGCCGGGAGCTGCCCTGGGTCTTTCTACTTGTTTGTAGCTGGAACGCGCAAAGCAGGAACGAGGTCTGGCCACAGCTTGTTCCGGGCTGTTTGGCCCAGGCCGAGACTGTCTGGTTTCGGGGCAGCCACAATCCTATCAGGAGGGTGTCATAGCTCTGTCATCGGACACTCGTGGAGGCCGAGTGGCAGGCGTTTGTCCCAAGAAAAGGGTGGGGGTTGTCGCGCGCTCTGTGCTCCTTTTGCAGAGCCAGCCTTCGGGGAGGTGAACCAGCTGGGAGGAGTGTTCGTGAACGGAAGGCCGCTGCCCAACGCCATTCGACTTCGCATCGTGGAATTAGCCCAACTGGGCATCCGACCTTGTGACATCAGCCGCCAGTTACGGGTCTCACACGGCTGCGTCAGCAAGATCCTGGCGCGCTACAACGAGACCGGCTCGATTTTGCCCGGAGCCATCGGGGGCAGCAAACCCCGGGTCACCACTCCCACTGTGGTGAAACACATCCGGACTTACAAGCAGAGGGACCCGGGCATCTTCGCTTGGGAGATCCGGGACCGCCTGCTGGCGGACGGCGTGTGCGACAAGTACAACGTGCCCTCGGTGAGTTCCATCAGCCGGATTCTGCGCAACAAGATCGGCAACTTGGCCCAGCAGGCCCACTACGACTCATACAAGCAGCACCAGCCTGCGCCACAGCCCGCGCTGCCCTACAACCACATCTACTCGTACCCCAGTCCCATCGCCGCTGCGGCTGCTAAGGTGCCTACACCACCTGGGGTGCCGGCCATCCCCGGTTCCGTGGCTATGCCGCGCACCTGGCCCTCCTCTCACTCTGTCACCGACATCCTGGGCATCCGCTCCATCACCGACCAAGGTAAGGCGCTCAGAGGCGGAGTGCTGAGCAGAGTGGGTTCCTGCACGCTGTCGGGAACCCCAGAACCTTCGGCCTCTGGCGAGTGTCTATCCCACCACCTGTGGCTTTTTCTTTTGGAAACCTAAGGAGTCTTCCCAGGGGGTGTCCTGATCTCATTAACTTGAAACTCTTGCCCCTCCGTTTCCTTGCCACACACACAGTCTGCAGCCTCATCTCAAACTGCCAGACCCATAACATCCCCCATCCCCAACACATGGTTCGCATTTTCCACCCTCCCCCGCCTCTCGCGCACTCGCGGCCTTAGCCGGGCTATTCTGCTTGGAGAGGGCAGCCAGCCTCTGCCTTAGGGAGCAG